ACCGTTGGCAAAATCATTACATCCACATCATTTTCAAGTCTTCAGAACGTTCAATATTGTGTTCAAGATCAAGTTAGTAAGATATACACGTCTTCTCAACAGACACTACCTACTTGTAAACATGTATTTGTATAAACAAGTCAGCATTCTTGAACAGTTTTTTTTTAACTGTGAAATAATTTTTGTAGCAAATGTAATGCACCACAAACATTATATTTTTAATTATTAACGGTTATAAAATTTTGAATTTCTATATTGACCATACTCCTATGTATTGTATATATTTTCTATTATAATTCTATTGAATTTAACGTCAAGTAATAAGTAGCCAAATCCTCATTCGATGTAACTAAAAATTACAGGATAAACTAACAATCTGCCTAGTATTAGAAAAAATGTATTTATAATTTATCATTTCTTATAATTGCATTAAAAAAAAAAAATTCAAATTTTATTAAAAAATAGAGTTGCAACAAAAATGTTAACTTACATTAATTTATATTTTTGTTCTGTATGCAACAATAGGATATTATAGAACATGAATTTTTAAGAAACTATTGGTAGATACAAAAAGAAAAGTGCATTTATTACATTACTTATGGAAATTTCATTATTTAAATATTTAGTTAATTAATTTGTATGAGACATAGCAGCATATACTATATTTGTTTTTTTCAACATTTTTACACGAGTAGGAAGCTATTACTAATTAACTTAACTCGGTTTATAAAGAACTTAAATAAATGACACCTATTCACCAAGTCGTCGAGATATTATAATTAATTTTTGAATTGTAAACAATTTTATTCATTAATTATTATTATTGTTATTATAATTATCCAACAATTACAATCTCCGGTATGTTTAATATGGTCAGACACATTGATTAAACATGGTACGATTAGAGTATCCACCACATATACCACATACATTGTAGCTATCAGTTTTTATAATTAATAGACCCTATGTACTATATCGATTGATCTCTTATAGTCAGTTTTAAGTAAAACTACAAAAAAGTAAAATTTTATCATTATCTTATAGACTTAATGGTGTCTCCTAACAAGTACCAATTTTTGTTTTAACAGTGTAATACTCCAGTATATATACCTGATTTTAAGATACCTTGGATACTTCAAATGGTATTAATTCGAAATCAAAATGTGTACACTGTACAGGCTTATACATGATTTTGAGTATTTTTTTTTTTTTTACAACATCATAACCTATCAGATTTAAAACGTTAATTGCTATATGAGAAGTTTAGACAGAGTACAAAATATACAAAATTAAGTAATGGTTTTTTTTTTTTTTTCATCATTAATCATTAATTAAAGATTTTCATCATCGTAGTACTGATCATCACCATCATCATCATTTTCATCAACATCCATTTTATTCTGAAAATAAGAAATATATTGCAATATTTTAGAAAAGTATTAAAAAACATTAATAATTGTGTTATTTTGCTGAAATACTTAAAAAAAAAAAAACAGAATTTATACAAAAATATTGTCTTCTGTAATTGACTGTAATGGCAACAGTAAAACTCGAATGTAAACCCCATATATTATTTTTCAGTTTTCTCTCATTACTTGGCTATAAAATCAGGAAAATCCCAGATTTTGAAAAACAAATTTTATATTATTACAAGTTAAAACAGCTTCTAGCTTAACAATAAAATAATTGTTATTGTGATTCGAACATATTGAAATAAACTAGAAAAAAATCATTATAAAATAAATATTGTATCCTAATGGCAGTATTTTATTAAGGTAACTAATACATTTTGATCATGTTATCTATTTAATTTCAGGTTTAAGTAACTTGGAGAAAAACAGGATGAATTTGACTTCAATTTTAAATTACATGTGTAAATTGTGTAAATTTACAATAAAATGTGTATGGTGGAAATTGGTCATAATTTAAATCTCCTGTAGGAAGTACTCCTTTTTTTAAAAAACTAACTGTTTAACCCTTTAGAAAACAATTGTTAAAACTGTATTTTTATGTTTAGCTTTAAACGGTTTAAACGTTATCTCTCAAATCTTCCCTATTCTCAAATGAGCAGTGCTTTTGCTTAAGCATGCTTATGTTATGACTGGCAACGCGTACAACACAAATATTGTAGCGTGCAATAAGGTCACTAGGAGTGTTGAATTGAAAAAGTATTGGAAACGTGTGATACAGTTAAAGACAGAATAAAATACATGAGATATACCGGCAGGCATATGTTTGAAATCTATTCAGTCTTATTGCCAGAAAAATTAACTAAAAAAAGGGATTCATGTCGTTTCATATGTGCCACTTATCAATACTATATTTAATCTATGCTTAATGGGAGCTGCTAGCAAGCTTTAATTTATGTGAATCTAACTTAAAAAAGATTAACTATAAAAAATCGATTTTTAAGTATTTCTAAATAAAATGAATTTTTAATTAGATTACTAAATCCCAAAATTCTTAACAATACAAAATCACTTATAGCTAAAATTAAAAAAAAAAAATTTTGAAAAGTATATTTACAGTAATATCATAAATTTGTTGAACTCTGATTGACGATTGTATTAAATATGAACTTACTAATTTGTTTGTTATTGCTGTTGTTGATGCTGCTGATGTTGTTGCTGCTGCTGCTGATGTTGTTTTTGGTGTAGTTGATGCTGCTGTTGTTGGTGTAGTTAATGCTGCTGTTGGTGTAGTTGATGCTGCTGTTGTTGGTGTAGTTAATGCTGCTATTGTTGGTGTAGTTAATGCTGATGTTGGTGTAGTTGATGCTGATATTGTTGTTGGTGGGGGGGGGGGGGGGGTGCGGCCAGGAACCCTTGGATTCCGGCATTCCTGCCCTTTGTGGCCGTAGCGGCCACAATTGTAACACTTCACTATAATATCAATTCAAATTAACGATTAAAAACAATTTAAAAATATTAAGACATAGTCAAAATATAACACAGTTTTTGACTCATAATTAAAATCTTCCCAATGTTACAGATGATCATAGAAATAAAACAGTTTTTATGAAAATATTGAATAATTAAGCCAAAATTTGTTTACATTTAAGCATACATGGTTTTAAAATCATTAGCATTTCAAAACGGGGATCGTGGGTAAAGTAAGTTTGATTAGTGCGCAAAATCAACATTGACAACGCCAAACGTGCTCTTGATTTTTTTCCTACTCTGTATTAGTTTTAATTTCTAAAATATAATCAATTTAATCTCATTAAAAAAAAAAAAGTTATTTCTAGGACTTAATGCAATACTAAACTTAATGCTTTACTAAGCATACAGAAGTACAGTTGTCACGTATAATACAATAATTTGGCTGAATTGCATATAAAATGTAGGTAGGTAAGTTAATCTCTGCCAGATTATTGTGATATACTTTCAATCAATTATAAAATGTATTTGAAATTTAAAAAATTGATACTCACATGTTTTCATTTTTCCGCCACCGCCACCATGGCCACCAACTACCACTGTAACCTTACTATTCTGTTAACAGTAAAATAAAATTACAATTATGTAATTATTGTATTCAGAGTCCTATTATAATATTATTTAATCATTGATTAAATTAATTTTTTTTTCAATCGGGCATAAGTACGTTATATTAGATTATAGATTTTTATAAAATTTAACAAGAGAACACAAATTTACAATTATTTATTACTAGTTTTCTCAATGGTAATATTGACCGATACGTGATACCTACTGATTTTAGACCACCTCATTAAACGTTTGCCGATTTATAGACCAACCATTATAAAATTGTTAGTGATCCAATATATACTTAATTATTGTACAGAGAATAAATATCATAGAGTGATATCATAATTTTTAATTTACAGTAACTTTTATACAACAAAAAAGGCGAATAATGTAAAATTATATACGTTAATATTATTTGACAAATTAAAAAAAAATTAACATATTTTTAATTACAAAAACGCATAAATGATAGGCGAGGTAACACGTCGTTATCAGATTTCCTATCTTCGAGAAGTCGTCGTTGTTGCCAACGAACGCCCTGATTGTCTATTTCTTTAAAAGCAGTTATCTAATCACCTTGGCATGTCCGCCGAAAATGATAAAAATGTCAAATTGGATGCAAGATCACTCTAATGATGTTACAGACTCATTTGGAAAATTATAAAACTAATAATTAATTTACATTTTTAAAATAATTGTATGATTGTTGATGAAATCTTTCAAGCTGTATTTTCAATATTTTTTGTACTGTAATTCGAATATTACACTTTGGTGGTTAGATTAACTTATAATGTTTGCTATTCATTCTATTATACCTTAATTGCCATCTAACTTTTTTGAAACCTGTTAAAAAAATAATTTAGGGACATTTCATTTGTTTTTTACTCTTGAGTTCACAGGACACACAAACATATATTTTTTCTAAAATTTTGGACTTCTGATAAACCAGCAGACCGCGTGTACCTTCGATGATTAAATTCTAATTCTAAACGGACAATACTGGCATAGATATGATTTCTCAACAGATTACGATTCTAATTTGATCAATGTCTAGACATATAATATAGTATAGGTACTACACTTTAACAAGTTGTGTTTCGCATAGGAACACCATACCACACATTTAGCCGACTGACCTCTAAACATTTTTTCTCTTTTAAACCATTGCTTACTAAGCCTGTGAAGTAAGCAACACCAGATACTTGATTTTCCACATTCACATTTTATAAATTAAAAAGTACTTTAAGCAAGTAAAGCTGGTCACACACGGAGCGGTTTAGCCGCGCGCAGTCGCGGTTTTTTATCCGCGACCGCAACCGCTATGTACTTACACACGGAGCGGATCAAACGCGGTTTTTATAATTTATAAAATATTTCGCGCCAATTTAGTGTTCGTGCTAATTTGTAACAGAGGTTTATACAAACAGTTGAGCTAACAACGTGTTTGAGACAACAAGTGTTCGGTTTATATATTTTTTCAGTGTAAACAGTTTTTTTATAAAACAAAAAACATGGACATTGCATTAAATGATGTCGAAGCAGTATGTATTGCATATTTACTAAATAAAAGACATAAAAAACAAAATAAAACTAAAAGGCAATATTGGGTGCATCCATTAAATGTAAAAAGGCCCCAGGAAGGCCAATTCAATATTACTTTTATGACCTTGCGAGCGCACCCAGACAAATTTTTCGACTACTACAGAATGAGCATTCAATCTTTCGATGAACTGGTAAGTTCATTAATTATAAAAATGTAGAATATCCTTAATAAATAATAATTAAGGTAATAATTTATATCATTAGGTTTTACTCGCCGGACAGCACATCCAAAAACAATATACAAATATGCGTATCCCAATTTCACCAGAGGAAAGGTTGACTGTCACAATAAGGTATATTCATAGTTTTATAATACATATAATTCATAGTTTTATAATATTAAATTGATTACGTTTGTTACTAAAATTTGAAAACAATAAGACTTTATAAGTTGTATTGTTATTATAAATCTGAATGTAATGAATAAAATATAATTTTTTTCTATACTATACTATTCAGGTATTTGGCAACTGGAACGCATTTCTCAGCATTACATTATGAGTTTCTAATGGGTGTGTCGACCATAACAAAAATAGTGCGGGAAACTTGCGAGGTATTATGGACAATTTTGCAGCCAATTGAGATGTCAGAGCCCACAACTCATGATTGGCTAGATATAGCTGAAGACTATTTTGAAAAAACCCAGTTTCCAAATACAGTCGGGGTGGTAAGTATATTAATCCTGTACAATTTTATTCCAATTATAATAATCGAATTTTATTATTATTGCTATTATTCAAACCTTTTTTTTCTATATTATTTATATACATTAAACATGTGTTATAAAATATTAATCTAGCAAACAAAAAAAAATGATTTTCAATATTTTAAATTAATTTGCTCATTGATTTGTTATACCTTAGTATGAAAGTAAAACACAATTAGATTAATATAAATAATAATATTCGCTGATGTTTATTATGAAACCAAAATTACACGAATGACAAGTTATGCCGGTGTAGCACTCGCGTATGGTAGACAATTCCCACCATATGTATTTATATAAACTGCTGATATGTAACACCTCTTTCCTTTTTTTTTAAATTTACAATAAAATCAAAAATAATATACTTAACCATAATTACATTTTTAATATCATATAGATAGATAATACAAATGATTAAAAAAACAATATCAAATTACAATAACAATATTTCATGCAAAAATAATACAGTAACATAATTATTTATAATCACAAGGAGAAAAACGCTGAATGGTTTTTTTAATCCTAACGGGTCTAGGGGATTTTTGTGTTGTGGTATTTATTGGTACAGTAGTTTCAAAGGAATCGGAGTTTGTTTGGTCAAAACTAGGCGTGTCTGAT